CAGAACAGCTCACCAGACACCCATCTCCGATTAACTACCTGAAAACCTCAAGGGGAGCTATGGCACAAACTGGTAGAATAACAGCTTTGAATACAAAAGCTCAGGGACAGCTGTGAGTTCAAGTCCCAGTAGTGGCACAAAAACAAAACAAGAAAAATCCATTGAAGGAAGGAGCTGACATGATTAAACAACAGAGATTTCACAGCACAGGCGCCCATTTCTATGGTGTTCAGGAGCAAATCTAGGTAGCATTGTGCCAGGGAAGAGTGTGCATGGTGTGTGGTGTGGGCTGGGCTGGGGAAACGGGACAAAGGCTCCTGGTCTGATCTGGCCATGAGCATCAGGTGTTCATTCACTGCTCAGTCTTCAGAGTCAGGCCACTGACACCACCTCACATGACATTGAAACCACACAACCTTAGTTTTTTTTTTCTTTTCTTTTCTTTTTTTTTACTCAGGGCCTATGTGCTGTCCCTGTGTTTTTGTGCTCAGGCTGGTGCTTTACAACTTGAGCTGCTGCTCCACTTCTGGTTTTATTTTTCATAGCTCATCAGAGATAAGAATCACCTGACCTTTCCTACCTGGACTGACTTCTGATCTTGATCCTCAGATCTCAGCCTCTTGTTTAGCTGGGATGACCATACAAGGCCTGGGTATCCACTTAAAACACAGTTTGGTTAGTCTTTCAGTTAGTCATCCAGTTAATCTGTCAGGGATTACACAGCCATGGTCCACATCTTGGACTCTGTTTGTTCTGAGGACCCTCAATTCATGAAGGAGAGTCTGGGGTCCTCCATGAACTACAGAGGGAGAATGCCAGACCTGCTGGCTATGTGCATTTTAAAGAGGAAAAGGCCTTGATGGAACAGTTATTGGGCACTGAGCACTGACCTTGGCCTTGGAAGTGAAGAAAGACTTGGGGAAGAGTTGGATGGGGAGGTGAGAGGAGATGAGGGGGGGAAACTCCTTCCTCTCCACTTTGAATTTATATCCAATTTTAGTCTCGATCCAAGGGGAACGAACATATGTGGGCACAGATCGAATCCAGTTGGAATCCCCCTTGGTGTGAATCAGACAGAGAACCTCAATCAACCAATGGGTTCCTGGAGCAGAAACAAAATCAGAGGTCACTCATTTCTGTCTGAATACACAATATTATATATATACACACACACACACACACACACACATATACATACATACATACATACATGCACACACACAGATATATAATGGTAAAGCATATGTAACATAGACCTTAGGGATATAAACTTTCTCAGGCATGCAATCTGATATGGATAAGTAGTGTTTAGTGTATTTTAATCATAGCTCACTCAGTGCCAGTATTTTGTCATCTAATAAGTCTCCACTGTCCATGACAACTGAATATTGATTTGCTTGCCACCTGCACCATCATTCTCTTATCACACCAGGACTTTGGCTTTTCTGGGCCTTGTATGTGAGTGCAATAGTACACAGTTTGTTTGTTTGTTTTTTGAACTATGACCTTGACTCATGTGGTTTCAAATGGCAAAATGTCCTGATAATAGTAGAACATGGGTCTAAGTA